TCCATCCATCCATCCATTCATCCATCCATCCATCCATCCATCCATCCATCCATCCATCCATCCATCCATCCATCCATCCATCCATCCATCCATCCATCCATCCATCCATCCATCCATCCATCCATCCATCCATCCATCCATCCATCCATCCATCCATCCATCCATCCATCCATCCATCCATCCATCCATCCATCCATCCATCCATCCATCCATCCATCCATCCATCCATCCATCCATCCATCCATCCATCCATCCATCCATCCATCCATCCATCCATCCATCAGAAAGATATTGAAATAGTGACATCAATACAATTACTCATCGACTCTCAACCCGTTAGGTGAGTGATGATGATGCCAGTGATGATGATGATGCCAGTGATGATGATGATGATGATAATAGTGCTGGTGGTGATTATGATCATTGAATCACAACTTCATATTCGTTTTTTCTATCTCTCGTTCCACATTATCATCCTTTTCATCATTATCATTGCCACCATCATCATCATCACCGCAACATCACGAGCGTCGTTGTGTCGTCATCGTCATCATCACGTGACTTAATTTTTGAAAAGTTCCGGGATACAGAAGTATTTGCCGCGAACTGTGTGGTCAATGGTGGACATAGAGGTCATGAAGGCAGGCGCGGCAAAAGTGTGCGACGAACTTAAAACATTGAGCTCGAGCGCATTGATGGTTTTGATGCTCTGTAAGTTTGTGCGTGTGTGTGTGTGTGTGCGTGTGTGCGTGTGTTGGTAATTTTGCGCATGCGTGTGTATTTGTGTGTGTGAGCGAATGTAACATGTACGTATGTGTTTGTTTTTTATCTTTCTCTCTTTCATTTTCTTTCTTTCATTCTTTATCACTTGAATGGATGAATGAATGAATCAATCAATCAACCAATCAATCAATCAATCAATCAATCAACGAACAAACGAATGATCGAGTGAATTAAGTAATTTAATAAAACATACGAATATTTGAAATTTGCAGTCCGATTACAGAAATGGCCGACGTTCGCTTCAAATTTCTTTCAAGTCTTCGTAAGAATTTATTTTTTTCAAATTTTTTTGGAAATCATTTTTTGTAACCCTTGACTCTCGTGACTGCCAACACCGATGTCATAACTTCAAAGATCTCTACATCTCCAACCCCAGTGTTGTAGCTTCCAGCGATCGTCGAGTGTTCGTTATTCTGTTAAATTAAGTTAATGATTTTGATGGATGAATACAACTGCTTCTAACGCAAACTTTGTTGAAGGTTTATTTGAATGCCAACAGTAATAGAAACACTAAACTAATCCAAGTAACTACTTAAATCACATTTACGACTTCACTTTCTCTACTCGAAATCTGACACGTAAACCCCACTACGTATGACGTATTTATAGCCTATTTTTAGCATCGATACAATTCTTCAATCTTTCCAAAGATTAAAAATATAGTCAAGATAACAATAATCCAATAAAAAATAATAATGCGCAATTCGATCATTCCCGCGATTATAACATAACCCACACCGTACATGGGCGTTACTTCTATTCGAATGGACAACTTCCATCCTTTCTTCCAGGATCATAGGTCCTGTAGATCACGTCATCTATCTTGTTAGTGATCTTGTACGATCTTTCCAATGCTGTGGAAGTTGAAGTTTCACCTGGCATCTGCTTTTTCTCCGCCGTAAGTTCTGCAACCAGACCAGGTCTTAGCTCTCAAAATCTCGGCTATTTCTTTTCCAGTCACGCCACGTTTCCCGCTGTTTCAGCTCCTCTAGCTACTTCACTATTAATCTTATTTTAATTCTTCTTGTTATTATTATTAACAATAACAACGATATAAAAAATTAAAACACTAAAGAACCCATCAAAAGCAAGCTTTGGCCGACAATGCATACTGGCTCTCCATAAATCGGGCGTCTGCATTATGAATCAACTTGATAATGTATTTATTACTTTTTCTATTTATTCATTTTTAATAATAATATCATTATTAATAGTAATAATAAGAGTTATATTAGTTATAATATTATTTATATAGCGCAAAACAATTTTTGAAATATAAAAATCACTTCCGAACAGGTTGTCCTCGAAGTCTTTCCATACCAAAATGGAATGACCATGAACACCGATATGAACAACATTCACAAATTAACTCTAATCTCTCCAATATCATCTTCAGCAGCAGCAAAAGCAGAAGTTGCTGCAGCTACTTCAACTGCTACAGCTGTCGTGTTTTCATTTGAATGTAATGAGGTCTGTTCTGTAGTTGGCTTGTTTATGCTTGACTTTGCCGCTTTCGAATTCATGCAGGATTGAATTTTTTATTTTTTTAAATTTATTGTCCATAAAATTAATTTATAAAATATTTGATGTTTTTACTCGCAAATAATTTTTAATTGCATTTTCTACCAACAACTACATCAGGCTTACTGCATTAAAGGAATTTTTGATCTATACATGAATCATTTCAAGAGAAAGCAGCTTCAACAACAACAGCAACAACAACAACGATTATAATGACATTAATATTACATCAAACAAGCTACTGTGTGATTGTCGATTGAAATTATTAATCAGCCAACTAAGCTAACTATTCGATCATTTTCGGATTAATTTATTTAATTTATAACCTAAATTTTAAAAATAGTTTTACTTACTTTTGTTTGTATTTTAAAATCACGATTTTCATTTTTGGCAAAGTTGCAATTGGCTTATTCTAACGGCTATATTTTCTTTAAATTTTATATCTCAGATGATTATACACATTTTATAAAGCTTTAATCTTAAAAACTTCCATTCACTTTTTATCATAAATTTCATACGACCATTTCGATTAATTTAAATGTGAAATATTTGAAATTATCACGTTCGTAATGGTCCAAAAAACGGTCTTTCCCTATACCCCTCTGTACCCCTTAGTAAGTGCGAGTGTTTTATCACACACACCACACACACACACACACACACACACACACACACACACACACACACACACACACGAATAGTTATAAAAAATAAATGTGATTGAAAATTTTTTTTTATTTTATCCTGAACTTACGAAATCACGACTAATACAACATTTAAAAGATGAAAAAGAAGGAACAAGTGCCGATGGTTGTAAAACACGAACGTTTAAAATTAATTCATCTGACATCTTTAGAATTAACGCCAAATGATAACGTAAATAACCTTAAACAAGGGAGAATATAAACATTTCTTAATACATTTCGATACAAAACACGAACGAACGAACGAATGAACGAACGAACGAACAAACAAACAAACAAACAAACGAACAAATGAATGAATGAATGAATGACTGAGTGAATAATTGAATGAATGAATTAATGAATGAATGAATTAATTAATTAATTATAGACATTTAAAGGTACAGCACGTATTTGAAAGCGTTTTTAGAATATAAAATCTAGAGACCAAAAAAATGTTCTGACAGTTTACAAATTTTGAAATTTAAAACAAACGATAGATAAATATCAATGATCTTATTTCATAATTAATTTAATTAATTAATAATTCAAATAATAATGATAATAATAGTAATCTGATTTATAACATGATAAATAAATGAATATAATTCAGTACAAACACAGGAAATAAAATGATGCCACAACAGAACTAAGGATTTCAATAACACAAAAACCTGATCAAAACTTTGACGTAAGAAAGAATATACAAACTCATCCATCCAAGCATTCTTTAATTCGTTTACTCATTCATTCACTCATTCATTCACTCATTCATTCACTCATCAATTCAATCATTCATTCACCCATTTCTTCATTCCTTCAATCAATCAATCAATCAATCAATCAACCTTCGTTCG